CTGGGAGTTGAAGTCCACCCGTCTTAAAGTTGCCAAGGTTGAGGAACCCTGATTTATGGATTTGCCGATTAAAAAGGGTTGAATATGGGAAGAAGGAACGTAACCTTATAGAGGGAGGAGAAATGGTAAGTTTGTTAGTAACTGGTGTAAAGAAGAGCGGGAGTTCTTTCTATATCTTTTTCTCTTTTTTCTTTTACTTTCCCACCTTCCTTCTCTTTTCTCTTCCTCACTGTTACTTCATATTAGTTCCTGTGGAACTTTTACTTCTAGGTAAACCTTTAATAAGAATTATAAGAAGAAAATAAAGGGGGCCAGCAGCGTAGACAGGAAAAACTGTAAAGTCGCAGGGGAGGCCGACCACTGGGCGACGGATCCACGTGTGAACCCGGCGCACGAGGCCCTGCAGCGGGTCCGGCGCATGCGTCGCTGGAGCGGGGGCAGACGCCCCCCCCTCCGCAGCGCCGCCCGTTCTGAAACGCCCTCCTGAGGGGCAGCGTCGGAGGAGGGCAAAAAAGCGACCCGGAAGCGCTACTTCCAAACCAAAGCGATATCAATCTATAGATGTGAGTCTATGGAAGGAGAAAGGGAGCGCCGGGCCTCTACGTCACTTCCCGTCGGCTTTTCCCTCCTCGCCGGCTTTCCGCCTTCGGATTTGGCGCGTTTTTCTCCTTCGCGCGAGGTCTTCCCGAGGCTTCCGTGAGGGATGCGGGGCTCGGCCTCCGCTGGCGCGGGAGAGGCGAACGGCCGGGGCGAAGGAGCCGCTGGCTGTTGACCTTCCTGGGGGGGGCTTTCTCTTCCTCCTGGTCGGCGCGTGAGGAGTGGGGGGCGTGGATTTGCCTGGCAGGTGGAAATACGGCAGGTGAAGCCCTGGGGTGAGGGAGGGGAAGGTGGGTAGGGCTGCATGTTTTCCGACGGTCGGGAGCCTTGGAGGGAGGAGCCTAGCACGGCAGGTGGCAGGCAGAAGTCTGTCAGGCGGAGCCTCGGGAGTTGGGCTTGGCGTGGTGGGTTTGCGTGGGTTCTGCCTGTTGTTGTCGTCATTATTATTATTTTGAATTTATTACCCACCCAACTCCAATGGATTCTTCCCCCCCCTTCCTGCAAAGTGCTGCATGCAGGCAAGAGATGGTAATTGACATTTCTGAATATTGCATCATTATCGTAATACGCAGTGTCCCACAAGGTGCAGCTTCTCCATTGCCAACCTAAAATCCTAAAGTCAAAAGGGGCCCTTGAGTGCAGCCCCTGCTCGGGGCAGGTATCAAATTAGAGCCCTCTTGATAATGGCTGCCCCTCCTGTGGACACACCCAGAGATGGAGAGTTCGCATCTCCCTCCGTGCCCAGCTTCGTTCGGACCCACGGGAAGTTTTTCTGAACAGTCACCTGGAATCTGTATTTCAGCAACCTTATTCCCGGGCCTGCCCTCTGTGACATCCCCAAGCCTTGGACTGCCTTTTGTGACATCCTTTCACACTCTAGAAGAAGCCTCTCCAAGTATACATTGAAGTAATCAGCTTTGCAGGTGCAAACCTCCAGCATAGACAAGAGTTTGCTAATGAGCAAGAATTTACCTGCATGCTAAGAGGAAGCTGCCCTGAGTGCTTTAGAGGCAGCGACAAGATGAGATGATGACCACAAGTCTTAAAAGCTGTTCTCATCACGCCCAGAAACATGCACTTTGCCTTTGTGGGGAGCCAGTTGCTAAACTAGAAAAGCCATACTGCTTTTCTTCTGTTGGATTTATCTCACCTTCCCTCTAAGAGGGATGAATTCTTTCTGAATTCAGATCTGAGGTTCATCTAATCTGCCACCTTGTTTATCACCGTGGCCACGCTAATGCCTGTAGCGTATCCACATGAGCTGAACATGAAAGCAATAGTCCTCCCATATTTTCTATAAAATCCATAACCCTTCTTTAAGTTGGTGGCCATCACCATATCTTGTGGAAGCAGATGCCGTATTTATTGATGTGTTGATTAAGGAGGTACTAACTTTGTACATATATATTGAAGCGCACTGCAGACTCCCTGTTGTAGACACTGTGGAAAGAGAGCTGTGTTAGCCTAGGGTGGCAAAGAATCAGGAGGAGCCTGGGAGCACCTTTTCCAACTAGCAAGTTCTTAAAGGTATAATTTTTTTGTGAGTTTCAACTTCTTTTTGAGATGCAAACGGTGGCATCTGATAAAGTGAGCTGTACCTTGTGCAAGCTTATGCCTCTTAAGAAAAAATGTTACATCAGAAAAGGTGCTACCAGACTCCTGATTACAAGCTCCACGGAGCACTTCCCTGACCGCTCACTTACTTCATTTCTTTGTCTCCAGCAGAACCCTTCTACTTAGCTGTCTAACCCTCCTGCAAGACCATGTTCTCAGAGCAGGGTGTCCAGTCTGCACAGAGCCTCTTGGCGTCCCCATCGGCAGTGGTTTCCACCTTTGCCCGTGTGCCCATCTCAACATACACCAACTGCTCCCAGAATTTCAGGCTTGGGGAGCGTACTTTCAATCGACAGTATGCTCATATATATGCTACACGCCTTATCCAGATGAGACCGTTATTGGTGGATAGAGCCCGGCGTAAATGGGGTGAGCTTGTCATCACAAATGAGTCTTGTTTTGTGGGCACTGTATGACTTTGAGGATGTAAATCACTTGCTGCACCTCCTAGAGAAAATTGTCATGTGAAGATCAATGGAGCTGGGCTGAAGTAAGTGATGTAAAAGTTGTATACTGAATGTGAAATTAAGAAATAATAGGAGGGTCGGGCAAAAATAGGTCAGCAAAAAGGAGATATAAAAATACTTAAGAGGCATTTTGGACCTGTTTTGTTTAGTGAGCTAAATTGATTAGTGTGGTGTTGCAGATTTTGTCTATTGCTCAGTCTGTTTTTAGAAGTTTACTTTTTATTTTTAAATAATGACTGTTTTTTTGTTTTTAAAATAATATTGATTAAAAGATTTTGGGTGGGGGGAGTCATAGGATAATCCTCTCTGCAGATTAATATCTCAGAATCCGAGTGGAATCAGAAGGAACTTGCACTGGTACGTGGACACACCTTTGTGGGTAGGCAGAGAGCTACCCCAACTACAGACAGCTCAGATTGTAACACTGCATTTATTACTCAAAGCTTAGGTTTTTCTCTCCTCCCCTTACCTACAGTAAAAAATATGGAACTAGAAAGAGGACTTTTAATGTACTGGTAACACTTGCCTTATGGAATGTCCTTGCCAAAGCAGCTCATTCATGCCAACTTTGATGTTTTATTGTTATTTTGCCTGGCAATTAACAAGTAACATTGATTATATGAAAATTCATCTTATTTGCAAAACTTTTAGCCTACTTTTCATCAAAAGGAACTCTAAAGGAAACAATACTGTTACCTTATCAAATTCCAAAATCCAATATGTTGAATTTTATGCTATTCTTTGTTTGCAGTATTTTTTTAATCTTGATATTTGGTTGGCTGGTGTGGGTCTTCCGGGCTGTGTGGCCGTGTTCTTGAAGTTTTGTTTCCTAACGTTTCGCCAGCACCTGTGACTTGCATCTTCAGAGTGCAGGAGCACAGACAGGAGCAGTTCTCTCTATGCCCAGGGTGATGTGACCCTTTTGTGGGTATTTACAGAGATCTGAAGGGGGGGATTGGGGGGAGTGTGGGGGGGGTTGAGTTACTGAGTGGCTGCTTGTTTTGGTGTCAGAATCTGTGTGTATCTTCCTGGGGATTAGGCAGGGTTTTTTCTTCTATTGAATTGTTAATGAGGGGCTGCTGGGGGTGATTAGCAAGTATTGGTAGCCAGGTTTTGTTGATTTTTAGACTCTCCTCTTTTTTATGTGAAAGCCTTCGACAATACATTGATATTTGGTTCTTTTTATAATCTGATTTGGTACTTAAAAAAGAGGAGAGTCTAAAAATCAACAAAACCTGGCTACCAATACTTGCTAATCACCCCCAGCAGCCCCTCATTAACAATTCAATAGAAGAAAAAACCCTGTAAAAAAGAGGAGAGTCTAAAAATCAACAAAACCTGGCTACCAATACTTGCTAATCACCCCCAGCAGCCCCTCATTAACAATTCAATAGAAGAAAAAACCCTGTAAAAAAGAGGAGAGTCTAAAAATCAACAAAACCTGGCTACCAATACTTGCTAATCACCCCCAGCAGCCCCTCATTAACAATTCAATAGAAGAAAAAACCCTGAAACAAAACTTCAAGAACACGGCCACACAGCCCGGAAGACCCACACCAGCCATCGTATGCCAGTCGTGAAAGCCTTCGACAATACATTGATATTTGGTTCTTTTTATAATCTGATTTGGTACTTCTATTGAAGCATGTCCTTATTCTACCCACCCACCCCAAATAGTAAATAAAACATTACATTGTGAGCCACCCTAGAAACTAGACAGATGCAAGGCTTTCAAGCAGGTTAAGTATTTACCCCTTCTAGTTAATTCCACTTCATGGGCCCTTAAAGTTTTCTCACATCTAATTGGTTGCCTTTATTTCCTAAAGGGAGCAACATTACAGTGAAAAAGCTATGTGAGTTACAGATCTCAGAGAAGTGCTGTGTGGTGGGGACACTCTTCAAGTGTATGCAGCTTCAGCCTTCTATCTTGCGGGAAATCAGTGAAGAGGTATGGGAAAGCAAGCATATCGGTTTCATTCAGAAAGCATGAGGGATGTCAGAGGCAGACTTGACAATATCAATTCAATATCAAAAGTGGAATTGGAGAGGAGGCATCCCCTGAACAAACTTCTCTTGCAGAATAAGTGCTGAGCATTTGCAAGGAAAAAAAAGATAAATTCTCTGTCTGGAAGGATCCTTATTGTTTTGGAAACTGGTCTCTTGCGCAATCAGGTGAACTTTTAGCTAATTTTGGAAGGATAGTTGTTGAGTAACATTAAACTTGCCCCAGTAATGAACTCCATTCAGACATAACTTGATGATGGCAAACACATGTGTTGGAACTCTACCACCAAAGATTGGCTGTAAAAGTTATTGACCAAATGAGTAACATCATTTTAGGATACTTTCGTTGTTTTTGTTTTGTTGAATAAAACCTGCTTGCTGTGGTCCTGAGCGCCAACAAACCTTAGATAGAAACATCTTATGAATTATTGCTAGCACATTAATCAGGCCAGATTGGGAAATCAATGCTATTTATTATAAGATTTTTCCTTATAGACCTATTTTCTCTGTGGTTGCTTCATTGCTGTGTTGCAATGACTGAGAATATCATAAATCCACAGGACTCTTGCTGATTTCAAAAGTATTATTTCAGCATGTTAAGAGCCCTCAATAAAAAAAATGTGGGATGATTCAGCCATCATCAGTTCTCTGCCAGTACATGGGGTGATGGAGAAGAATTGTGGGACCAGGGCATGGATTGTTTTCTCCAGCAAATGCAGAACTCTCCCTGTGGGGGAAAAACTCCTGCCAGGGCAGTTCTAGTTAAATGCACAATGGAAACTTGGCTCTTTCCTGCTTATTGTACATGTGCTTCTCCAAACAGTATGTTTCACTCTTCTGTTTAATTCCGCAGTCTGAAGTTACTTAGTTCTCTATTTGTGGTCTGCAATAATTCTTTCTTAAAATGCAACTGACATAAAGTAAATGGCCTAGAATGTTGTATGTTCTAAACCACCAGGGACAGTGGTCTGCTTACCACAGAGGAGCTATAGAATATAGTGACAATTCTTTAAAAATATCATGCCTTTCTGAAGGCAACAGAATCAGAGGGAATAATAGAGGACCTTACACAGCCACAATGTTGCTAAAACTCGAACTACCAATTTGAAAATGTGTAAACTATCATTAAAGGCCATAAGAGAATTCACTGCCTAAAAAAGCTTTCCAGAATAGGTCTTGGCACTTCCTAAATATAAAGCAATGAGAGAAGAGTCTGTTGTATCCCATCCAAGAATTTTGCTCCCAGACCTTTGGGCACCTTTGTTAAAGATTCAAATCTTATGTAGTGGTCATCTTATCTGCTGAATTGAGGCCCTGGGAGCCATGTGTCCACCTTGTAAAATGCAGCAGCTGCTGGCACTTAATCAGAAGAAGCTGGTTTCAGTGTTCTTAGAAATGTTTGGTAAGCAAATGTAGTGCCCTCCTTTGTATCAGTCAGGCTCTCTGCCTTATCTGATGTTTTTGGATTCTTGAATTAAACAAAAACAAAAACAGAAGACTGACATGCAACAACAACGACAAAAAAGCATCGTTTTCTAGAATTGTAGGCATTCTTTTGGCTGCACCCCGCTTCTTCATTTGGACATAGCCCATTACCTAGGGGGGGAAAAAGAGAAAGGTGAGATGGGGTATGGAGAATATTGTGGGGGTAAGAGGAGGGCTGGAAGTGACCTCATCAGTTTGCAGTATGCTAAATTGGTCGTGTCCACCATGGCAATCTTTTTGTGAGTCTCTGTGGCATACTTCAAAATGAAAAATGCCCCAAAGGAGGGCCTTAGGCTAAGAATGGATTTAAAGTTAAGCAGCTCAAATTGTGCTTTAGCTCCTGCAAAGCATATTGGAGACTAGCTTCAAAGCAGGGATGCGGTTGCTTCTTCCTCACAGCAAGATTTTGTTCATCTTCACAGCACAACCTGCCCCCCCAGCCTCCCCGCCTCAAGTATATTCACCAGTCAGATGAACTGATCTTGGAGGATGAGCTGCAGCGGATCAAACTTGAGGGAGAGATACAGATCGACAAGCTGGTGACAGGTGGGACAGATGACCTCGTTTGGTGCTTCTTACACTTTACATCTTTGGGACGTCTGGCTTTTGTGGAGGGAAACTTTGCATTCCAGGGCTCAAGTCTGTCCCTTCCTGCTGTTTTAGGGACCATCCTTGCCGTCTATGGTTCAGAGAAGGACGATGGCAGATTTCTTGTGGAAGATCACTGCTTTGCAGATATGCCAACCCAGTTGCCCATGATGGGGCCCAGCACAGACAAGTGAGCCTCCCTATAACCTTACCGCATGAGGAGCCCTGCTGGAGCAATCCAAGGGTCCCTGTCACTCAGAATTCTCTTTCTACCAATTGCCAGCACAGAACTGGAAGGAGGAACAGGCTCCCATGTTTTACTTATGTTTGCTCTTGCAAGTGGCCACATCCAGAGATATGATTCCCCAGAGATCTCCCCTTACTGGTGGAACAATTAACAATTACTTAACAATTTACTTACACCTGTGTAGGGCAAACTGTTCCCCCCCCCCGCCTTTTGTTGTGGGAACCTTGGCGTGCCTATGATGGCATCATTGAAATTCTGCAGCAAACTGACAAATAACAGGTGCCCTTTTTGGCAAAGAAAGTAAAATAGATGCATTAAACCTGCACTAAGCTTAATGCACATATTTTCTTCTAAAAAAAAGCCCCTTTAACAGGGAGTAAATGGACCAAAAATTGTGCTTCATCCACTGATGGCAGTGTGGCATCACTTCACCCTCATGGCTCCTACATGCTCATTTACAGGGACCTGAGAAAATGCCATCTTTGTGGCTGAGTGTGATTCTGAGGATGGGCCAGCTTCCTCCCTTTCCTTAGAAGCTTCTTGTTAAATGCCCTGAGATAAGCCAAGCGGCCACTTCCTGACTACAAAAGCCACTCTGTTCTCTGACTCGCATGGCTTGTATCTCACCTTGCAGGTTTGTCTTGCTTGTGTCAGGCCTGGGCCTTGGTGGCAAGAGTGGAGAGAGTCTCCTGGGCATGCAGCTTCTGGTGGACATGGTGACGGGACAGCTGGGTGCAGAGGGTGAGCAATCCAGTGCAGCCCTCATCTCCCGAGTCATTCTGGCAGGCAACTTGCTTAGCCAGAATACCCAGAGCAGAGACACCATGAACAAGGTGCAGACATCAGAAATGTTCTCTGAGCAATGTAATGAATTTAATTTTTAGTATACAATCACATAACCATAGAATAGCCATGTTTATCCTATTCATGAACTTTACTAGGAAACTCACTTTGCTGGAATGTTGGAATGTAAGCTAGGTATCTTGTACGAATGAGTTCTCAACACTGATAAGGCTGGAACGTTGGTGGGTGTAAGGAATGCAGTGAATATCATAAATTAATAAGATAACGGAACGAGAGGTACCATCGTAACAAGTTACCCAATTGTTCCTAATGTGAACTGTTCCTGGCATGCACCATTCTTGAGATGACCTGAATGAAGTGTTCACCAGAATTCTAAGTAAACAAGCTGGGTATAAAAGAAAGGATGGAAACCATACCCACCTGGAAGTGTGAGACGACTCTTGTTGGAGCAGGGGATACCCTGAGTCTGATTCCCAGGCCGCTCTAGCACAGCCTGATTAGCTGTGTTGAGAGTGTATGTAAGTATTCTGTGTGAATGTGTAGCCTAGTTGGGCAAGAAAATTGACAGCAACTTGGGTAGCCTAGTAGAGCAGTTGCTTATTGATACACTGTTAGCCTTGTTGGGGATAAAATTTATTGTTATATTACAAGAAAACAGAGAAATTATATGTATTAACATTGATTAAACACTTGATTTGCTTTCTGTCCAAATAACACAAGAATAAAAGAACTAATTCTGAACTCTATTTTGAGTGAGTTGGATTCAGTCATTTTGTAACAGCAACACTGTTTATGTATTGCATCAATGTTGTGCCTTTCTTTCACTTTCTGTTCCAACGGGGATGAATTAAGATGTCTAATTCTGTTCATTCAGGTGGAAGATCACCAGCAAGTCTGTTGGTGACCTTAATAAATTTGGGGCTAAACAGACAGATAGATTGATGTACCTTCCGAGGTGTGATCTCCCAGTTACAATTCTGGAAGGAATGTTTAGCCCAATCTTTTATGCTTGCAGGATAATTCTAAACAGCAGTCAACCAGTTCCTCAGAAAATTTCCAAAGAAAGTTATTATGGCATCTTAAGGCAAATTGATGGCCACTTCCTAGTTTTTTGAGCCAGGATTCCAACATAGTTGTAGGCAAAATCTCCAGTGTGATTTTTATGCTTTTGCCAATTCAAAACATTTTGGTTTATCTCCTATATTGAATTGAATAGTTTTGAGCCTCTCTACCCATCCACCTCAGAATATGCTACCACTTTCTTTGTCTATGCTTCATTCCATCTCTGATGTATACATACATCTTGAACATCAGTACAGTCCTGTCTCTTGTTAGTGTTGTTAAAATGAGATTTAATAATGGGGATATTTCTGCCTTAGGGAGGGAGGAGTCCTCAACTATTATACCTCAGCATCTCTTGTGTTCATTCAGTATTTCTTTAATTCCCTCTTAATTTGTATTTTGATCTTGTACATTGCCATGCAGGCAAAATACCTCACCAAGAAGACTCAAGCTGCCAGTGTTGAAGCTGTAAAAATGTTGGATGAAATTCTACTGCAACTGACTGTAAGTTTTGTTTTCAAGAAAGGGTAATGGTGGGTGAGGTATATTTTAGGACAGAACAAGTCCTACTTCAGAACAGAGCAATCTGACTTGTTCAGACAAAACCTATCTATTCTGTAAGCCTGTTTCCCTCATTGGCTATCCAAATGCTCCTGGAAAACCCATAAGCAGAATATGTCGGCAATAATCTCTCCTGCCTTCCCCTCTGACAATGGGTATTTGAAAGCTGCATAGTCGCCATGACCAGTAGCCATTTATAGCCTTTTTCTCCCCAAATTTGCCCCATTTCATTTCAAGCTGTTCAAATTGCTGGCCACCGCTTCATCTTCCAGCGTTCACTTATTTTAATGAATTGTTGAGTTCAAAAACCTTTTCTCGGTTTTGAGTTTTTCCTCCATCTTTCAATGATCCTTAGTTTTAGTATGGTTAGAGAGAGGGAAAAATATTTATATTCATTTTTTCCAGATTGTTTATTATTTTATCCATCTCTGTCACATGCTTTTTTCCAGGGAAAAAAATCTTTAAAGAGTTATTTCAGTCCCCTGCTCATTTGTGTTATTTCTGCCTTTTTATTTTTTTTATTTTTGCACAATTACTTATTTGTATAGAGGCATTGTGGTATGAGTACCTTAATTTTGATATCCTTTCCTAGTGATCTCCTCCTCACATTGTGGTCAGTTTGTCATTGATGTGATACAAGCATCTGCTCTTGATCAGTCATCGCTAGCTTGTACGTGGTCACTGAACCTGTGAAGTTGTGGGGGTGAAGGAGAAACTCTTGGCCCACTTTAGTTGTACTATCTGATCATTGTTCAACCAAGGGGTCCAAAGGATAATTGAGCCTCAGGTAATTGCTGCTAAGCCTTAATAAGAAAAAAATGTAGGCACTTGTCTATCCAAAGTATGAGAGGCGAGTTATATAATTGCTTCTCTGTTGTTTTTCAAACCTGTTTGAGCTTGAAAAGTAGCTCACAATCTATTAACTATGATACCAACTTTAAACAAAGAAGTAAGTTTAAGACTGTTTTAGTCCGGGCTGCCTGTGGTTTTACATTTTATCTTGTTTTTATGGATTGCTTTGGTTTTGTAAGCCACCCAGAATCCACTGGAGTTGGGCAGCTGTACCAAATTTGAATAAATAAGTAAAACAGCAGCATCAAGCTTTGAAGAACAGAACCATTTTAATTGCCTGATGAGGTGGTAGTGGTGAAGAAGCTGTTCCACTTTTTCCTCCATCCGTGGTGAGAAGTGTTCCGCTGGACCTAAGTGCCTGCCCGCTCTCCCCTTACAGATGTCCGTCCCTATAGATGTGATGCCAGGAGAATTTGATCCGACCAACTACACGTTGCCTCAGCAGCCACTGCATCGCTGCATGTTTCCTCTGTCAAGCGCATACACTACCCTGCAGCTAGTCACCAACCCATACCAGGCAAACATTGATGGAGTCAGGTAAAAGCCGGCTTCCTTGTTCTGTAGGTGGTACCATGGTTACTCCTTAGTATTTATACAGCATTGTCAAGTATTCAAACCATTTCACATGCAGTATCTAGTTCTGACAACACTGATTAGGATCACTCACTTTTGGGTGAAGACTGATTCTATAAGGTGATGAAGAAGCACAGATGTAAATTTTAGGAAAAAAGGATGGGGAAAGAGTTCTTCAGTAGTTTCTACAGAATGTCCCACATGGGAACCAATCCTGTTCTGAACTTAATAAAAGCCACCACTGATTAAAGAAGAACAGGGAGCCAGTTTGGTCTAGTGGTTAAGGCTCCAGGCTAGAAACCAGGAGACTGGGAGTTCTAGTCCTACCTTTAGGCACAAAAGCTGGCTGGGTGACTCTGGGCCAGTCATTCTCAGCCCCTGACATCAGGTTCGGGCAACAAGTCAGTCGGTCAATTCCTGTCGCAGCCAACGGATCAACATTTTGGTTGATCCGGAACAAATGGACCCTGCATAGGTGGGAAAACGCTAGGAAGAAAAAAAATTGATTAAAGAAGAACGTTGAATTCAGCCAGAATTCATCATTAGCAATTCCACAATCCAGCTACCTACCGAGATTCTCTTCCCAAGATGTTAAATTAAAACTACCACTATTAATAGTGAGGAGAGAGCAAACAGTTTGCATAATATGATCTTGTAAATTCATGTCAGAAGCAACATCTAAACCAGAGATTTCTCATATTGCTGTGTGTTTTTAGCCATTGTACCAGAGCAAATCACAGCCAGTTGAGGTGATTTTGGAAGCTACCCTGTAACACCAAGAGGAATAGCTTCTGCGCCACGTCCAACTTTGGGAAACTGAATAGAGGTGGCAAAGGAACAGGACTGACTTAGGAAAGAGAAAAACCATGTGGCATAATTGACTGATGTAAATGGGCTGATTTGAATCCAGATTCTCTGTCCTTTTACTTACAAATTCAGTTTGAATCACTTGCTGTCTGTCAGCTGAACTCATCAGAAGCCAGTTCTGAGAATAAGAGAGAGAGAGAAACATTTACAGGTAGTCCTTAGCTAACAATGGTAATTGGGACCAGAATTTCTGTTGCTAAATGATGCAGTTGTAAAGCATGATGTCATGTGACCGCATCGCTTAGCGATGGGAATCCCAGCAGCCCCCGTTGTTGTTAATCAAGGACTTCCTTGCAATTTCCTGCTGGCTTCCAACCACCAAAGTCAGTGGGGAAGCCTGCAGGAAGTTGCAAGTCCCAGGCAGCTCGCAAGCAGGTTGGCAGGCAGGTAAGTGACTGTTGCTGGCTGGGGGGCGTGCACAAGAGGCAGGCAGGCCTGGGGGTGGCTGCTGCCGGTGCGGGGAGGGTACGAGAGGGTGCAAGCAGCCCCAGAGCCACGGTGACTCCCTGCACATGGCTGGGATGGTGAGCCCAGCGGAGGGGAGGCAGGTGAAGATGACAAAGGTCAGCTGGGGGGTGGTCGCAAGTGTGGGCTACCTCAAATTTTTATCATGTGACTGCAAGGGTACTGCAATGGTTGCAAGTTCAAGGACTGGTCGCAAGTCCATTTTTTCAGCACCATTATAACTTTGGTGGCTGAACGAATGGACGTTAAGCAAGGACTACCTGTATGTTCATCTGAGTTACTTTGAGAATATGTAGGATAAAAATATAATGCATAAAATCCTTTCCTTGATATTCTGTGCTAGAGTTCCATCTTATTCAAGTGTAATTACAGCTATCATTTTCCTCTGTTTAGATTTCTGGGAACTTCAGGCCAAAACATAAGTGACATTTTCAAGTACAGCAGCATGTCTGATTATCTGGAAATTCTGGAATGGACTTTAAGGATTGGGCATCTCAGCCCCACAGCCCCAGACACTCTGGGTAATATAACTAAGGGATAAATTTGCTGGGTTTTGTTTTAGTATTTTAAGCTTTGCAGATCATTGGATGGGCTAAGCCAGCTCTGATGTTGTGTGAGCTGGAGTGTATTATGGGGGATTAAAGTCTGGTTGCTAGCAAGACCTCCTAAATGTGCAGCTCATGATCAGGTATTTTGGGGAAAGGAGGAGGAGATAATTGCCCTTAGTGGGAGATCAGTGTCTGCTTCCTCCTCATTGCATTTAATTTCTGTAATATATCCAAAATATATGTTGTTACTGCTCTATCATAATAGAGTGCTCATAGTATCTTAAGTCAGCAAGAATGCAATAACAAACATACATAATAAAGATCGAGAAACATAAAACTCTGGAATTGGGAATGGAGAGTACAGTACCTACATTCTCAACATTTTCTCCTAGGGATGTGCAGTAGAGCATTTGTGTATGTAGAGCATTCTCTGCCCAGGCTGAAGCTTTATTAAATGTTAGTTCAATAAGCAAGTAAAATTCAACCAATAGCATACAAGGTACTTACTTAGATTCACATTACAATGCCGACCATTCACTTAGATTCACACTGCAATGCGGACCACCTATTTAGATTCACATTGCAATGCCGACCAACTTGACCGAGCTGTCAGGTAGACAGCTTGAGCAAGTGGGTACCGACCCTCTCGTTGCAATCCTTTTTATCCTCAAAAACCACAAACCACAGATATGACTCCTAGGTTTAGCAGCTGAATTATCCTTGGTGCTAATTTTACCAGACTTTACCAGACTTCCCTTGTCACGTCTCTTCCCATCAGCAAGTTTGCTTAGTCTTGCATTTGACATTTCCTGTCATTGCCCTAAAGGTCACATTTTAGCTAACTTGGCTTTATTAAATGCAATCAAAACTAACATTAACATTAAAACATACAGAAGGCTACTAATAATTTTCCTCTCACAATGTGCCCTTTGTTGGTGCACTGAACCAGAGCTTGCATTTGATCCCTGCCCAGAACTGGAGCGTGCGTATTCCAACAGAACTGTTCTGCTGTGGGAGAGAGCAGAAAAAAGGAAGGCTGGTTGTGTGCCTTGGCGGGAAGGTAGAATAGATCCCTGGGGGGGGCGGGGGGAGGGAAAGAAGGCAAAGAAGAAGAGGATGAGGGCAGGTGGGCTGGGCACATATGCTACGTTTGAATTCAGCACAATGGGAGGTAGGATGGTGCTAGAGAAAAAAGTGGGCAGGCTGGCACAAACTCCTTGCAGCGGTGGAGGAGGAGCAGAGTGAGGTGCACCAGCTGTACCCTACTTTCCTTTAAAATTCTTGTGGATTTCTTTTGGCCCAAACCCAAGTCAACCTGAATGATCTGAGTGTCACTTTAGCGAGGTCACAGCCTGCTTGGAACAGTCGATTTTCTGAGGTACAGTGTGTCAGTTCTATACAAGGAGCAGAACGCATGTTTTGCCTTAAGTCTGCCTGCTGGTGGGCCATTCATTTAAAGGCCCTCGCTTGCCTGTCTTTCAGGCTGTTACCCATTTTACAAGACGGACCCGTTCATCTTCAGCGACTGCCCTCATGTCTATTTCTGCGGGAATGCACCCTCCTTCAAATCCAAGGAAGTCAAAGGTGAGCCAGTAAGCAGCTGCATCCTGTGCAAGACAGTCTTGGCTTGGCTTCTTCTGGGCTGCCTTGGGATTTGCTTGTTTTATTCCCAAGGGCACAATCAGTAAATTGGAAGCCGGTGTCTGGCAAGAAACTGAGGTTGCACAGCTAGGTAGAAAAGAAGGGAAGCAGGATGGGAAGCCCAGGACACATCGCTGGAGTTTCATTGACTAGGCTCCCACTGGACGTTAAGACATGGTTCAGCCATGGTTGATTAGATGAACTCATCATGCCAAACCAGAGTTGGCAAAGCTGTATGAAAATCTAATCACAAATTAGAGGACAGAATTTTCTGGTGGTTTTTCTGAAAAACCCATCTTGGAAACTGCCTACTTCAATGCTACTAAAATCACTAACTGTTCATATAAATGCTAGGATTGATATAGGATTCAGACTATCTAGTTTTCCTTCCCTCCCTCCTTCCAAAAAGTGAATTGTACCCATGACGGAACTTGCTGTAACTTTTGGGGTTTGTTGCAGAAAGAGGCCTGAACCATGCAAAAAAAAAGGGGTGGGGTTTACGGCAGACATTGCCAAATCGTGGGATGTTCTTAACGTCCTATAGGAGCTTCTCACGGCTCCTCTGTGCAGTGGTTTTGTAATGTTGCTTTTGCACCTGTTACTAGCATCATATAACTGGGTGGAAAAACTCACCCTTGTGTAACTAGGATTTATTCTGAGACTATAATCTCAGCCTAGAATATTCTGCCCATAAACTTGGTGAGTGGGTTGACTAGGATTTTGAAATGTTGCTTGAGCAAATAAAATGTGTTTGTCCACTTTGCAGATGGGCCTTGATTCCACTTGAGTTTTACAGGTGAAGGACATCTTAGTAGAAGTGCCAACATAGTCACAGAATGGGATGGGCACTCAGATGTGTGATTATACATGTTGCTGCTGCACTATTTAAGTCTTAAATCTCTCCATTAAGTTGGATAGTTCTGTGCTTTGTAACTGCAAAGGCACTTTGTCAGCTGAGCTGATTTAATTGCAAGATGTACTCAGCTGCCTTTTTCCAGTTTTACAAATTGGTTTATTTTTATTGGATATTTTTATTCTTAGTGGATCTCATGACAGCTACTTTAGGCAGAAACATGGGAAGCTATTTTGTACGAAGTTTGATCTTTTTCATCTGGCTTAGCACCATCTATACTGAGGCCTCTTTCGTTTTGACTTTGTGGTGCAAGTCAAATCAATATTGCTGTACATGGAAAAGGTGAACTCTCTGAATTGCAAGTCGCTTCTCAGAATCTGAAGTCTTTACCATCACTTAGTCCAGTGTTGTCCAAACTTGGCCACTTTAAGATGAGTGGACTTCAACTCCCAGAATTCCCCAGCCAGCATGGGGAATCTTAAAGTGGCCAAGTTTGGACAACACTGACTTAGTCCTTAATCCTTTCTGATGACAGCATGGGACCTTCTATATACAAAGCACACTCTCTGCCATGGTGGTATGGCAGGAATGGGCAACTTGAGGCCTTGCAACCACAGGTGGCTCTGGCGCCTCTCTTTGTGGCTCTGAAAGTCAGTGGTGAGAGACAGGCAAATGTTGTAATAGAAGCCTTGATATTAGCAAAGTTGGTTTAAAACAACAACAACAAAAGCTTTTCCCAACTTGAGGAAGAGGGGGATAAAAGGAAAATTGTGACCCTTTCCTCTCTTTAATATTGCATCCCCCCCCCCATGCTTCCCAAATTCTGGTAGTTGTCTTCACTTTTCTTTCCTCTTCCTTTGTAGGGGAAGATGGCCAGAAGGTCCTGCTGGTGACACTTCCTGATTTCAGCACAACGCAGACAGCTTGCTTGATCAATTTGTGCGACCTCACTTGCCAGCCAGTCAGTTTCTCTGCCTTTGGTGATGATGAAGAGGAAGAAGAGTCTGTAATGGAGACTGGTGACTGAGAGGCCCGGGCTTAGTTCTCCTCCTCTCTGGAACTTGGGAGTCATCCCCATCCCTCCTTTTTACTGTAGAGTGTGACCTTTGGCTCAGCTAGATAGGAATACAATAAAATATTCTGGTTCCTTTGCATGCCATTTGATCTTCACGACCAAGAACAAGGGGAACTTCTTGTATAATTCGTTTTATTCAATTAATACAACTGTTGGAAAACCAGAGGGCTCAAGGTGGATACTGGACTGCCTCCTGGGCAGCAGCGGCTCGGACGTTGCCCCTCAGGACTGAACTTAGCAAATCTCGATCTTCCTTCTCGGCTGCTGCAGGCAACAGCTTTCCTTGATGTTAGAACCACAGCAAAGTGATACCGACCTTGTAACTGGGAGAAGATTAAGCTGTACCATCTCTTCACTTTGAGAAACATACCCAGAGTCATATGGGAACTCAAGCTTCTAGTCCAGATCAGGAGAGCAAAACTGAAAGAAAGCCATTTATGCTTTGGAAACTAACTTGGTTGGCACCTTGAAAAGAAGACAGACTTTTTTTTTTCACACTCACCCTACCCCAACATTTTTTCTGGTTCTAGCGATGGTCCTCAATGCTTTAAGAATTCTTTCATTTCTTAATAGAATTGGAAAGAAATCTGAATGTTTCATACATCCCTTCTGTAAAGGTATTAAGACTGCAGATTAACAGTCAAGGGGACACTTACTTAAACTGTATATTGGATTGTGGCCCACGTGTGTTTCAGTGCTTGACGGGATTAATTATTTCAATTAATTTACACAGGGCAGCAACAGCTTTGGGCCTCTGGATAAGGGCCTAGTCTGCTTTTCTCTCCCTGTTGCAAGAATCTTACACCATACTGTAAAAGGCACAATAAGAATAAAAAAGAATGAAAAAAAGATTAACATACCAGATTTAACATAATTCAGACAGATTATGTTCTTAGCTTGTTCCCCATTCTACAGTCAGTCTGAAACGTACAATTTGCTCACCTCAATTTCCCATTCAGCAGGTGTAGATTACAGGTATAGTTTCAACCCTACAAAGAAAGCTGAGCCTTTATATCCAAGGCAGAGAGAGAAAGATGTTTGTGTGTATGTGTGAAAAATAAATGATGCAAATGTGATGGCTCTTCAAGCCTGCTCAAAGCAAGGGGGTTCCTGGTGGGTCCTAAAACCAGGAGAACATGCCTCCATGTACTACAGTGAATAGATACAGCCACCTGCTCCAGAAGAGGTGGAGCAGGCTTTAGGAATGTCTTAAGAGCGTTCCTGGCCTGCAGTCCTCACAAACTGGCAGACTGATATTAATCGCCAAAGTTAACTGTGTATGTCTCTGCTGTGGTCATGGGAAAAGCAGTGCCTGTAGTCTCCACCTCGGTTACTTCCTCTGTTACTGTCTCCCATTCAGTCACAGTCTCAGTGTAGACATCAGCGTCCCAAGTAGTGGCTGACTCTGCTATTGGAGGCTCTTGACTCCACGGCAGGAGCGTGGTGCTGCTGAACAAGAAGGGAAACACCGAGCTTGGGGGAGCGGTGGTGGGAACACTTGTGCTGGCTTTCCGCAGCCGTTCGCGCATCTGCTGGCGCAGGCGAGCTCTCTGGCGCATCCTCATCCTCCAGCGCATGCGCTCCCTAGGTGTCATGGGTCGTCCCAGCATGGGCCTCCCAAGGGGGCGGTTTCCATTCATGGCCATGATCTCTCGGATGCGTTTCCAGTTAGACCGTGACAAGATGAAGTTGCACTGGGTGGCCCCGATATCATAAAAGACGCTGCAGGTTTTGACACTGGGATTGTAGCCCTCAGCCCTGGCTGTGACGCGGTATTCACCAGGATTCAGGATGCGCCAGTAATCCCCTCCACTTACTGAAACAGACAAGAGCAAGATTTGATGATGCTGTTTTACTCTGGTTACAGATAAGGAAAAAGGCACATGCTTTGCAAGCAAAAAGATCAATAGAGGTGCATGCGCTAAGAAGGCTCAATGAAAGGACCTCTTGTGTGCTTGTCTGCACCTTCACTATTCCAGGCCTACCTGTTTGCACATCATGTTTGATCCCCATCACAGAAATGGAAGCATTAGCAATGGGAACTCCTTGTTGATCTGTCACTGTGCCCTTAATGCCGCGATGTACCTGTAAGCAGAAGACTTCAGGTAGGAGAGTTATATTTTTATTTTAAATTGTGTAGATGCCGCCTTTCCTCTTGTCATCCACCTCAGGCATCCAGGACACTGTTCTGAAAAAATCCATTAAGCCATTCAGAAAACACTGAAGCCTTCTAAGAACTCTGATGGCTCATAGGTTGATTGGGTGACTTAGGTCCAGTTACTTAGCCCAAGCTGCTTAGTGGTGGGAGGATAAACTGAAAGGAGACGCACCCCTGTGGACACCACCCTGAGCTCCCAAAGAAAACATGACATAAATGTAATTTTAAAAATGTATATTAATCATTTCCCTCTTGACTTCCATTAAAAAATTACCATTTGGGAACAACAATTGGAAGGCACAACTGTTTTGCATCTACTCTATAGGTCATCCAGCCATCAGAGGATGGACAAGTTGCCCTCTTCATTCACGTATGATTTGGTGAAGGACACTCACACGTGCAAGCAGAAGTAGAGCTGTATTAGCTGGTTGAATCCTTACTTGACTGAGTGTGGTCTCAGGTCCATCCAACGTACATTGAGACATTCTAAAGACAAGGTGCTATTTTTCTGTATCTGCCCAGCACAGCTGAAAAGATTTGTTCACCACCAGTCTCTGGGCCAACTCTGCTCCTCACCTGCTCCATAAATGTCAGCAGAGATTCCTTGTTATTTTCCCACTCCTGGGGTAGTTCACTTTCATGGGGAAACTTGTCACACCCAGGGTAGATCGAGAGCTCCAGACAGTTGGAGTGAAGGTAGCTGAAATCATTCAGGGCTGAAAGAGTGAGGAGGAAAAGGACATCACCATCCACTCTCCACTTAGGGGCTTAATTTGCTTGACAAACTCATTTCCTCAAGTTGTACAAAGACTTTGCAAAGTCAGAGGATGAAATGAAATTTAGAAAATGTGACTGGTGTTCAAACCCCTGAAGTGTGAATTTCACAAGAAACAAAAATTTGTGAGAGAACTGCTTAAAAAAAAAAGATCCCCCATTTAGCCTCATTTCCTATCAGAGGTCACAACTACCTACAAATCCACCTAAATCTAGTGGACACAAGAGAGATTACAATTCTGAACTCCAGATTTACTGAAGCAAGATAATTCAGGGAATAATATTGTTATTCTTGTTAGATAATTGCAAGTCAGAAACGTTTCCATAATTCTGCAAATCCCCATCTACCCCCTGCCCAGTCAGGCTCTGGGATAATAACACAACACTCTAAAAATGAAATGAACTTCTAAGATTTTCACATGTGAGATGGGGAAGGCTAGGTTACCAGTTTGATCATGCCACAGGCAGCATTCCCTGCTAACAGTAAGGACAATAAAGGTCCGTTTGGTCACATTTTGGTCAGTATACCACAAGCACTGCCAAAGCTCCACTTTATCTTAAGCCTGTTTGCGCTATTCCACGCAGATTAAGGACTTTAGTCTAGAGATTACCATGCAAGCCAACATCCTACCAGTTAGGGTACATGCCTGCTGACTCACATTTGGGGTGTATGAGGACAGAAAGGCATGAAGAGGTATAATGGTGGCAGTGGCGCCAACTAGATTCAGCTGTATTTCTTTCCCTTTCCTTATCTCATGCCTTTAAATTCTCTGGCTTACTATTTTACTATTCCTTTCTGTGTTCTGCAAAATGGGAGGAAATTTTGAACAAAAAAACCCAACGTTGTAGATCAGGGTTCCTCAACCTTGGTGACTTGAAGATGTGTGGACTTCAACTCCCAGAATTC